TGTTTTGCTTTGCTTGTGTGTGCGGCTTTTCCTTTATTTATTAAACTGTCTTGATCTCAACTCACACTTTTTCTCATTTTTACTCTTCTGATTCTCTCCCCCATCCCAGCAGGGGGGAGTGAGTGAGCAGCTGGGTGGGGCTGAGTTGCCGGCTGGGGTTAAACCATGACACAGTAAAATATAGTTTTTCTCTACATTTCCTGTTCCTGTTGGATAGGGTCAAAAGGAAGGTTCAAACTCCTTGATGATGCATCCATAATATCCACTCTTGAGGGTTTTGTACAAGAGACAGAAGTCTTAAGTTACTGCAATTCTATAATACATTCCTGCCCTGCTTATCCACTGTTAAAAGGCATTTTACCAGTGATATGACTGCAGATTTTCATTCATCATAGAAATTCAATGTAATTGTCACAACTTTCTGCATTGTTCAAATAAGGTTCATGACTATAACAATGAATTTGTTGTTCAGGTATTAAATGCTATGTTGCTATGCTTAAATTTAGATATAAATACCTGTCCATCATTTGCATGAATAATTAACAAAGTTTTCTTTAAAAAATTGTAAAAATAATCTGTTCTTAAAACAAAAACAAAAATCCACCAAAACCTTTTTTTCTCTTTCCTCTGCATTGACCCATGTTCTAATTTTGTGACATGTTCATTTAAACTGATATGATTTGCAACAAAACCTTCATTATACAAGACAGCCAGAAACAGAGCTGTCTTTAACAATGAATCACAATTCTAAACTTTATGATTCACCCAAGTATCTCTTTTTCCAAAAGACCAATGTGATAAAAAAGCTGAAGAATGGAAATGTAAATAGTAAAGCTGTCATATAAAGCAAGGCATGTATATGGTGTAGTTACTTATAGACTCTTAAGATCAGACACCTAACCAGTCATTTTTAATCATTTCTAACTTCTAGTTTTTCCTTCAGATTTAATTATCTTTCTAACTAAAATATGAACAGTGCAGACTATTTTGTTCAAAATAAACCTCTAATGAATGCATAGTCAGATGTGCCTTCTCCCTGGTGTACATTTCTATTCTTTCTTATTTAACACATTTACTGATACGTTACATGTTACAGTGTGCGTAGGCAATCAGATCAGAAATAGGACAAACTAATAGCATTGACAACATCCCCTTGCACTGAAAAAGAGTAACAGAGAACTGTTCTCACATACAAGAATGCAATTACTTGCTCTACTGAGTATCAACATGAAATGAAAGAAGAATCCACAGGAAACCAAAGGGCTGAGATTACTTCTATAAGATTATTGTTTCACTTTGTCATCAAAAGTAAATTACCACAAACAGATGAATGAATGTGTGATTTCTGCATTCATGAGCATCAGAAATTTGAGAAATAACTCTTTTTCAGTTGAAATTGCTGCTACGTCTACGTTTTCACAATACGGTAAACATTTGTACAGAAATCACCAACAAACAGTTAAATGATCTTGTTCAAAATATATTTATTCCAGTATCACATTATAAATGCAGTATCAGAATGTTATACCAAATAGATTTCATATTTCAGTGTTTAGCATTTTCTGATTTTGGGGTGGTTAAAAGGACTTGCACAGTAGTAGCTCAGTCTTTTCTGTATCTACATTACAAAATAATCTTTAAATAAATGATTTGTAGTACAGAACTTTTAATAACATATTGTCATGCAAAGTTTTCCACAGCCTGTAGAAACTTTATTTACGACAAGCCAAGTATGCAGGCAGGAGCCAAGGATTAGCAGGGAGAGGGGACAAACCCTCTTCCAGAGTCTTCCTTCAGAAACCGGTGAAATCTTTCTAATACTGTCCAGTCAGCCAGGTGCTTGCTTTCAGGTCAGTCTCCCTTCAGCGAGCACCTTGCATGAAATCAACTCTTGTGCAGGGGACCAAACAAAATAATGTGCACCACTGAAAATTCACACATCACCATTTTCATGGCAGAATTTGAAATGTAAGAGGGAAAAGGGAATATGTTAATGCCCTGTGTAGGAGATAACCTATATAAAACAAATAAAACACACTATCCATGTTCAAAATGCAATTTTCTGAGGTGCAAAGTAAATAAAACTTCAACAAATAACCTCTAGAACTGCAGAAGTATGTTTTCCAAAGTGAAAGTTACTTTTGTGCAAAAATTCAACTATTACTTCCAAGTCATATTAATTGGAAGGGTGTTCAAGAAAACAGAGAATATTTTACTTTTTTCAATCTAAAGAAAAGCTGTACTAGTTTAGTTAGCTCCTACAGAATATCGGTTTACATTACTGAGCACAAAAGTAAAAGATATATTGAACAGATTGTTAGGTATTAAAACACTGAGACATGATACATAATACACCTGTGTTCGAAACTTACATTTCCTGTTAATTTACATAATTTAAATCAATGGGAAAAATATTGGGCCAAAACAAGGCTCTGTCTTTAATGCCTGTAACTTTCACCACTGCAACAGGCTAGACAATATTTAGATTCATATTTAGATACTTGGACTGTGGCACAAATAATCTTTGGTTCTCCAACTTAAATAATTTTCTCCGTGAGTTCTACAATAAAATTTATACATTGGATAGACTTAATAAAAAGAAGAGCACACAAAAATCTCCACTTTCTAACAGTTGATCTCGGAAACATTTACAGAATTCTACCAAAACCACCTGCTTTCTTCAGGCTTAGCTGCTCCCAGTGTTCTTAAATAACGATTGCTCATCCTGCCACTTGACCACATCATTACACTAGAGAGCTACTTCCATTATATCTACTTGTAGGAACAAGACTACTGCTTGCATACATCATCCTTTGCAAGATCGAACTCTGTGTAGTACCAGAGGGAAATTTTGCCAATCAATTTTACCAAATCTGAAAACTGCATGCCCAGTAATTCCAAAATAATGTGTTACTCTCTATGTGTGTGTACTGCACATGATTGAAATTACAGTTTAAAAAACGGAAACTTTCATGATGCACAAGAATAATAAAAAACAATTTGCATGCAGTACAGTTAGTTATCTTTCTTTATTAACTGACTTTGAGGCAAAGTCAAGAGATTTAGTTACTACCATGCAAGTACAGAAGACAACATTTTGTACTATCTGAACTCCTACCGTCAAAGACAGAAATCTTATTTTCTCAGTGTGTAATCTGAATGTATCCTCCAGAGTTGCTAGAAATAGATTGCATTAGTGATAGACCTTCGAAAGAATTACCACAGCCAGAAGTCTTTTGTATTAGCAGGCAATACCTTCAGGTTTCATTTTGTGATAAGCTCTAAATTGATCTCCTGTAGCACTTTCTGAGAAAGTGGTAGGAGTTACTAGCTTAAGATTTACTCTATGACTTTTTTAAGTATACCATAACCTCCTTTAATACTGCAAGGAAGTTAATGACCAGAACATTTCACTTCTGCAGTTAGCAGTGTCCTTGCTCAGGAATTCCACAATCTGCTGAGCCAATATTGTTTTAATGGATAGGAGTTTGCACTCAGAAAAGGCAAAAAAAAACCCCAAAACCTTCCTGGAATTAGGGTTGACTAGTAGTTCAAAGCAATTCAATTATTGTAACACAGTAAGAAGGACTGCAATTATTTTCATACTGAATTTATTTAATGCACCTAAAAAACTGTCTCCTGACTAAACAGAGTCACAGATACACAGTTCTGTTAAATCCACAAAACTCTCTATGAAGACAGGTGATGGTAAAGCTGGATAGGGATGCTAAAATTATTTGTTATCAAATGGAAATGGTGCAAAAATGTTTGAATCACTGGGCTCGAAGGGTCAGTGGTTTTGATGTCCAACCAGCAGCTCGTTAAGAGTGCTGCACCTCAGTGGTTAATTCCAGGGCCAACTCTGTTTAGCATCTTTAACAACCTGTACAGGATGTCCAACCAGCAGCTGGTTAAGAGTGCTGCACCTCAATGGTTAATTCCAGGGCCAATTCTGTTTAGCATCTTTAACAACCTGTACAGAAAGCATCCCACACCAGTTTGAGAAGAGCAGTCAATACCTACCTGGAGGGTAGGGCTGCCATTCAGAGGACCTTGACAGCCTGGAGAGATGGGCTGGCACTGAACTGAGTGTAAATGCAAAGTACTGCATCTTTCATGCTCCCATTGCTCTCTAAAACTACTTAATTCGAGGGTGTAGAGAAGAGAGCGCCAAACTGTTCTGAGAGATATATAGTGAAAGGATAAGGGGCCACAGACACATATTGCAGCAAGGGAAATTTCAGCTTAGATATAAAAAAAAAAAAAAATAGTGCTAGACTGGACAAGCACTGGAGCAAATGACCAGAGAGGCTGTAGAATCTCCATCCTGGGAGATACTCCAAACTTATTGAGACATGGTCCTGAGCAAACAGCTCTAATCTGGGTGGGATCTAACTTTGAAACTGGCCCTGCTCTGGGTGGAAGGTTGGACCTAGGGACCTCCAGACCATCCTTCCAACTCAAAATTATTGTAGGGTTCTCCAATCCTAAATTTTCAAACAAACACTTACAGGGAGCAGGAGTCTTATATTCAGTCTAATGGATATACCCATAAACATGTCTTTACATCCTCGCCACATGAAAAACGTAATTTTCACAAGTGAATTTATGCAACCATTTTCACAAAAAGAAGCATGTAAAGTCACCCATCCCTTTCTTTTTTTCTTCTTTTTGAAAACATACTTTCCACAAACACCTCTACCAACTTGCTTCAGGTAAGGATAGTGAAATAAACTGAACAAACAATACCATAAAATTAGTCACTAATGTGGTATCTATATTTAAAAATAAATTAATACTGATATGTTATGAATAAAACATTTGCCAAATACTTGTTGAGATGCACCCTACCATACTAGCATTCAGTATTTTCCTTTCCTGATGCCCATAAAGATAGATAAAATTAATGTTAGGTTAAAATGACTAAAATTTTAGGCATTTCCCACACCAGTGCAGCTATAGATTTCTGAGGAATATATGACAGAAACAAAGGGTCTAACCTCTTGCTTGCAGCCCAGGTCCACAAGTCTCATGTGCTCCTGGACTGTCTTGGCGCACGTACCACGGTACTAGCTGGCACCTGCGCCACTTGTGGGTCTTCCACCTGAAATAAGGGGAGAGACAATCAACTTCAAACAATCCATCTAACCTTGTAGCAATCAAAACTGAGGCAGCACAAGTGCTAGATAGTATTAGAAACCACTGTAAGCTATTGTTTATTATTACTAACTAATCACAGCCAATTCACAACAAACAGCAACAATACCGTCAACTTTTCCCTCTTTCCTGTTAACTTTTTTGCTTCTTTTAGGATTAGGCCATTAAGAACACAGGGAAGGAAGGAGGAGGTGGAGGAGGGAAGAGAAAGCAAACCATATATATTTTCAAGGATTTCAAAGTACAAAGGTACATTAACACTACCTAACAAATACACAGTGAATACAAACCACAATATGAGGATTATACATAAATACAAAGCATTAACACACTTATACAAGATGTGAGAAAGAAATTTCAAAAAAGAATACTATACAAAATAATGAAATGATGTGACTTGAATACCCATTTAACAGAAGAACTCCTTTGCTATGGATTTATACCTGAGCATGCTCAGAGTATTTTACCAGTCAACAAAATGACATTATAAAATTTGAAAAGTGGATTTAGCGAAGTGACACTAACATCTCATAAAAACAACATGGACCCATTAAATAAGGATGTTTTAAATACTAGCAGGCCCTAATAAACCTCCTCTCTCCCTCACTTTCCCTTTCTTCCTTTCTTTTTTCCACCTATCTCAGCAAAGCAAAGATGTGTTGAAGTTTCCCAAATACACTCTAGAGATAAGACTCCAGAGTTGATTTCAGTTCTGCAGTACTGAGAGTGTCTTTTGGCAGTAAATAGTGTCACATATAGGTGTTAGTGCATTTCTTTCTCTTTTCCTTCTTTCGTCTTTCCCTCCCTTTCTTACCCTCCCTTAGGCATGCCTTGCAACACAACAACAAATGGACCAATTCTGCCTTGCTTGAAGCACAAACAAGTCTTGGAGTTATAGACAAAGATGAGGTCAGATGAGCAAAGTCTTAGGATTTTTGTTTTGTTTTCTCAAATTTCAAATGATATGATTACAAGGGTAAAGTTTTCACAACAAATTCCTTTGCATCTTCCAAACACTATCTCAAAAGGAGAAATCAGAAGCAAAAAGGGACCCCAGCTACAGCAAAGCATTGGGACAGTGGGTTTAAATGACTGTGAAGGTGCCTCAAGAAATCCCAGAGCACTTGGGGTCTCAGGTAGCTGAATGGCAGCACCTTACAAATGTGGAGCCAACCAAGACATCCAACACAATGTGAATATGGGCCCAGACCATATCAAAATAAAACACAGACAAAAAGAACTTGCAAAAAACTTTGATAAGAAATGCAATATTGTGCTGCTTAAATTATTCTATCATTAATATAAACTGCTACGAAACTTTTACAAAGTTCCCTTCTAGTGCTGCAAAATACCCTAAGCCTTAAATATAACCAGGCAAGTCTGGCTATTGTCACATCTCTGAAATAATCCACAGTTGTCTGAATTACTGAGAGTGGGGCGAAAAAAAAATGCTACGTTGACAGCTCAAACCATCGACTGCTCTCATGTTTAAAATTGTCTCAGTGGTTTTGCACCTCAAGTTTCATTGTAACTTGCCTCTGCAGGCCAGTATCTAAACTAAAGCATGAGCCAAGCTGAGTGAGTCCATCTGTCACAGCATGTGTATAGGTCAGAAAGATGCTAAAGGAAATATACAGAAAATGTTTTTAGTATTAGTTTGCATCATGAAATTTAAATCACCTCATCTACCACTCCTTAGCAACTCTTCTTCTGCCCAGTGCATCATCATGCACTAGCTCAGGTAAAATTTGATACTGAAGATACTAAAGAGATGAGGAGCAGCCAGCATTTTAAAAGATAAAACTCTGACTCTGGTATTGACTAGAAAAAGTTCTCGAGCTATATTTCTCTGATGTTTGAAGTACTGATTTTGGTAGCTTCCCAGTGCTGTTTCACATCCTTTCATATCTTTCAGTTATATACAGTGTGATCTCCTAATGAATTTGCAAATATAATTCTTACCAGATGATGAAAGCAACATGTTTCTTTAATCTCAATTTGTTTTGGCTAAAATAAGCTTAAAGTCTATTTGCACCACTGCAACAGAGAGGGGTTTCATGGGATCTAGCAGGTGTTCTTCTCTAGCCACTGGAGAAACAGAGCATTGGCTTCCAATTCAAACATATTTATTATTCATCAAAAAAAAACCTCTCTTTTTTTTCCCGTCAAGTAAATCCAACCAACCGCACCAGAATTTTCTAAATTTTGTCTGTATCTACATCTAGACTTTCCCATGCCACTCAGACAGATGTACAAAACTGCCTGAAAATTTTCTTAAGCAGTTATGGTGCAGATCCGCACCTATTGGAACAGTCCTCGTCATTCTCTGGTGAAGATTCAGTCAACACAGAGAATTTTGTACTGATAGGGAGTAATATCATAAGTTTC